GTCGTACGACGAAAATCGGATGCAGTGTGAATCCAGCATTACTCGATTATAGAAACAAACTAGGAATAGAATGCTAGGAAGATTTTTTTCCCAGCAATAGGCTGGGAAGGCATTAATTGCGCGAACTGTACTATACAATCAAATAGAACCAAAATGGCGAATAGAAATACCTAGGGGTTTTGATCAATGTATCTTTAGGGTCACTGTCACCAAGCTCAATTAACTTATGCCTGGTTTATGCTTCGGTATTTTCGATAAGTTTTGAAACGCATTTGTGAACGTGACGGACGCTGAAAGAAGAAAAATTGAAGAAAGATTGATTTTTATAAAATAAAACAGATGTAAGATTTAGAAACAATCACATAAATAGAAATGATAGCGATTAATTAGTTGCTTAATTATCTTATCTATAATTTATTATGTAATGATTATATTATATCGTACTATTAAATATATACTATAGATCTTTGAACTTAACCTGATCTTCATTGCAAAATGTCATGTAAATATTTCCCTCGAAAGGGATTTGCAAAGGCATTTAAATCCATAAATTAATCTTTTTGAAAAAATTATTTAAGTATAGATAATGAAATATTTGTCGCTTGTTTGTGTATAATAAACATAGTGTTTAACAAAATAATCACACAGGTAATAATTTGGAAGTCTAATGTGCATCGTATATTATTATTCATTTATTATTACACATAAAATACCTTTGTAAAATAAAAATGATACGAATTTGAATAAATCTGTTTTATATATAGGCTACGACAGCTCCCACATTTAGTACATTTACGTGATCCAACATCCTTCTTATGTGACACATGTTTTACTATAAATAAATTTTTTAAAGAACTCATAACTCTTATATGGATGACACATAACAAACCTAGCTTTTGTGATTTCAAAGGATTGGAAACAGTGAGGTTGAAAAGAAACAGATGTATATCGACTAGGTGTGATCTTATTTTCGAGGAGTATAGAAATCAATTTGAGAGCAATGGCAGGAATTAATTGCGCAGTTTCAACAAGCTCACGTCAATTATTGCGGCTATACATGAGAGGTATGAATTTGTAGATGACCAAACATTGGCGAGTTTGTCCATCCATTGAAATTGACACGATGTACATTTTTAATGTTCCCATTGATGTTCTTTTAAAAGGATTCACATGTCCGTTTTCATCTAAAAGCACAGACGAGGTCGGCGAGAGTCCGAGATTACGTGAATTCAGGAAAAAATTGCGCGAACGCGCTCCTATAGGTACGTTACGTAGTAGCAGTTTTTCCTGAATTTCTACGCAAAGATTTAAAGCAGTAAAAAAAATCGAACTTTGAACGTGACAGAGAAATTGGATGAATTGGAAGAGGGCAAGCATCCTTATCAAGAGCAAGAACCTCTGAAACCATTCCCGAACAACACCAATCCAGAAACAGGCGAAATCGGAGGTCCCCGTGGACCAGAGCCGACTCGTTATGGCGATTGGGAAAGAAAAGGTCGTGTGTCGGACTTCTGAATCAGCCTTGTTTAAGAATAGCGCAATTCATTTGTTAATAATAATTAGAAATTGTTATTAAAACATTTGATATTTAAAACTTAAAAAACTCTGCTTTGAAATACAATATGATACAATTGTTACATGATACAAAAAGTTTATTTTGGTATCAAGCTAATCGATATATCTCTCATAACAATTGGATCTTGTAACTAAATTTTAATAAAATTAGGTAATGTAACAAATTTATCTGAATGAAATATTGATTTAAAACAACGTAGCTAGATTAACCATATAAGGATTGAATTAATATTTGAATTTTAAGCTCAAAACATTTCATTTCATTTTCAAAAATTGAAGTAAACGCGAAATTGAAAATGTTATTAACTGCTTCTTGCGAGACAAAACATTCAATGCGATCTAGCCATATTGGCGACAGTGTTTTATTACCAAAATTATAAAAATTGTCACATCATTGTTTTCATAGGATTGCAGACAACCGCATGTTAGTTTCTCCATAAAACATTCGCATGATGATTCGCTTAAATTGTAATATTTTGACGAATCTACAAGCAAGAAGTTATAGACGATTTGTCACAAGTATGTATTGATGCTTCAGAATATTTTAAGTTTGCAAACTTCAATAGATTTTTGCGAATAATCTTTGTTCTTGCTATATTATATATAAAATCTTCATTCCATTGAATATAAAAATTAAATAAGTAATACATTTAGGTGCTTTTTTCCTAAAACCGAAGACTTTAAATGAGACTTTAAATGAGTCCTCGGAGAACACCCGAGAGTCGCCACGTATGAAGCAGTTCCACGAGAAACTTAAATTGCAACCGATACCAAGTATGTAATAGCGATTAATAAAAATTAATACAATGCGTAAAGATATTGATACGGGATCCTTTTATAATGATACGATAAAAGCTTCCACAAGAAATTGATTACGCTCAAAGCTTCAGGAATTTTCACTGATTTTTTTCTGACCGATACATAGAAGTAGGACCGCGGGAAAGGTTCGTGGATTTAGTATTAGTGAAAACCGACCCAAGAACTGGAGAACTGATAACAAATTGTGAAAAAGACCCTACTAAATGGGGAGACTGGCAGCACGGTGGCAGAGTCAGTGATTTTTGAAACGGAAACATCGTGTGTATATTTTTTAATACAGTTTCTATAAATATATTTAAAGAACTCGAAAGAATTCTTACTTCTTGACTTGCAATGATCAATTTTTGCATTTGTAACTATATGCGGAAAATAAATTAGATTTAATTATTTCGATCAGTGTTAAGTGAAATAAATCAAAATTGTTTCTTAATATGAAAAAATATATAAATTAGTAGATGTATATGAAAGAGATTATGTTATAGAACAAAAATTGTATATCAATGAGAGGTAATAAATTACATTGTACAAAAGTGAGCCTTTTTTGCTGGATTACGATACCCGAGTAAGTTTTCAGAAGTTACTATAAATTTATTAGTAACGACATTCCATGTTTGGTATTGTTAACTTCACATGACTTTCTTTCCGAAAGTCTGGCACTATGGCAATCTACACAAAAAGCTTAATTACGTCATAATGTAGAGATTATCAGTACATTATACATATAAAAATATGCAACACTTTGTCAAATACTGAATACTGTAAGTTAGGATAACAAACATTTTATACATCAAAGCGGTTAAATTTTTCGCTACTAATGAGAAAACGAATATTCAACTAAATCATTAATAATATCAACGTATATACTATGACTGTGTAAAGGATCGAATGCACAGCTCCGTTAACGGATGAATTTAAATCGATCCACAGTCATTAAAACATATTTTCACGCCAGTAGCAGCGAAAATTTATTTAGCCAAGATATATAATAAATTTTCAAAGAATTAACGGCTAAATCATTCACGTAGAAAAGGAGCGTAGTTAATTCTATAGATACATCGTATCAAGAAACATATGTACACGATACTGTAGTAAAAATTTCATTTTGTATTTGCCAGTATGTACGTTTTCAAAATTCTTCCAATCGTATCGAAAATTCTTAAAAAATAATATGCTACGAGGTTTACACTGTTGCATACGAGGCGCAGAATTTCATCCTTTTTTCTTTTCCTTCTCGACTATTGGTCAATAGCGAATAGATCATTTGATTAATTTCACTATGTCTCTTCAACACCTTCTGAGAATATGAAAGTAGCACTGATAAGAAGCGCGATGTCGGTTGCATTATCAGTACACTGCTTCGTTTTTTCTTTCTATATACATACGCAGCTTCACATTTTATGTAAGTTTCTAATACAGGAAGAGTTTCAGCTTTCGTGTCCTTTAATACAAGAATATGTGTTGCGCTATACAGAACGTATAAAATTTTGTTCAAAAGTGAAAAATCAAAATCAGCAGACGTATTTACATAATGATCTTCTATATATATATATATATATATACGATTTTTTTTATGTACACACATCGTATAGTTCTATGCAACATGTGGTATAAAGTACTTAAAACAGAATTGATTTAATACAAACAAAAAAAGCGTAAACATTTTATTCGCAAAAAAAAAAAAAACAAATTTCTTGTCATCATATAAATAATGCCTGAGTGATTAAAATAAATTTCAAACATAGTCAACTTGCAGAATTGCCTAAAGATATTTTGAAATATATATCATCAAACTTAGAACGTAGATAAATAAAGTAAAATTAAGTATTAGAAGAAGAGAAAGAAAATTCTAAATATAAATATCATTTAAACGATCGAATACCGTCAGTCTTTCATCTGGCGTCGACGGGTCTGTGTAGTGTAGGTTACGTGTATTTTGCATGTTCAAAAATTATTAATTTTAACAATTTATAAACTATAAAGTTTTATTGATGGCTAACACATCCCGCATCATCATGTTTCTGAGTGTCCACAAGGCGTTTACCACATTCCCATGATTTCCAACACCATTGCCCAGCCATTCGGCGGGCAGCTTCGTCACATCAGGGATTTGCGTATTATCCGGATTAGCGTTCATCTGTTTATCCCAATTTGATATGTAACGATTCTCTACGTTTAGACCTTCGATGTACCTACAAGCGAAAGAAGAATATGATTCAGTATGATGTTCAAAGATAATTTTTCACAAAATTTAGCTTAAGCCTACCTCAAATAGGCGTCCGAATGCAATACGCGACTTGGCCTTGGTGGTACCGCGACAAATATCGGCTCTGGTTGTTTAGTGGCGGGCAAACTGCTCGTCTGAGTTGCAGCTACTAAAGTTTCTAAGTGAAATGTGTTTTTCCCTTATTCATATCACGCGTTTACGTAAAATTAAAAATAATATGTAATTACCTGTTTCCATTGGAGGCAATACCGTGGGTCCTTTTGAAGGCATGTAATTTCTGCAAGAACATAAACGCATGGTATTCATAAAAACGTATTTTATAAAATGATATACGAAAAAAAGAGGATAAATTCTTACTTGCTCCTCTCAGAAGGTGGTATTATGCGTCCATGCGACTTGAGAATATGTACCTCCTTAACGTGTCTTGCGAGTCTCTGTACACTCGGGAACGGTGGGACAGATTTCTTCGTTCGGCCGCAACCACGCCATTGGCATTGATACTCCACGTCTATAACATTGATATAATATCGGTACAATTTAGTTCTTTGCATTATTCCATGTCGCGCTGCGCGGCTGCGGCTGTACTCACCGCTAGGTGCATTTACAAACGACGATTGTACGTGACCGTTCTGTTCCGCGATGCAGTGATCGATGCAATCGGTCATGTCCTCGAACTGCCAGTCGCAATTGTCCCAACAACATTCGTACACAACATCCTGCGTGGCGTTCGTGCCTACTGTAGGTGTACCCTTCAGCTGACCGCCGTCTTCGTTCATTTTGATCGCCCGTTCCTCCCATGCTTGCTTCTCTCCCGCCGGTAATTTCCTCCACTAGAACGAAAGTGGTTTTACGTTTTACGTAATCAATCCCGTTTCGTTGCTCGTAATCCGTTAGCAAACAGTTGGCAAAACCATTTTTGCCGTTTTAAAAGTGGTTCGACAAACTGTTTCAATGGCTACTCTCTTCTTCACGAAAGACTGGATACAAATAACGTTTATACATTGAATAATGACGGTAACATATCAAGGCGGAGACGATACAAATTACAATGTGTATATGCAAAATTAGAAGCTGATATACTACTCTTATAAAAGAATGCAGAAGATGCATTATTGTATTTTGTACACACAAGACATCTATATTTATAAGAATAAAGAGTAGCCATATAATATAATTTATTTGGATAAAGGACCAAGTATGCTGAATAATATTTTAGCGGTGTGTATGCAAAGTGACTTTTATACATAGTTAATTATGTTTTTTAAATCTTTTTGCCTTATCACATAAATGTCTGATCAAAGTTTATTCTGCATACATTCCTTCATCGAAACTCCATTATTAATAAACTAAAAAATCAACAGTGAAAAAGAAATAAATACCTCGTTGCCAACAATTCTGCTAATCTCTCCGAAGGATGATTCAGGATTGTTTTGTGTAATCTGCGTTCGCATTTTACTCGAATACAAAATATAGCCCGTAACTAATTTCTTACCCGCCGTTTTCTAAACAGAAGAGAAAACAAATTATAATGTCACCGTGTTCATGTAAACGAGCATATTGCCTTTACATCTCTTAACAGAGGTAACATCAAATTGTCGATCTATTATTAAGACAAATGGTGTCTTCAAACGGTGCAGAGAACAAAAAGAGGTATGTATGCTGGCATATTTCTCTAAATAAAAAGAAAAATAAAATAAACAAAATATGACGTGTGACAATAATTGATAAGAATGAAAAAAAAATAAAAATAAAATGGTCACGGTAAAGCCTACCTTCTTAGTCGACACAGGTGTCTGAGCATTGGAGAGCACCGGTTGAGCTTCCGTAGATCCAACGGATGATGGACCACCAGCATCCATGCTGTCTTCCCCAACTCCTACTCCCACTCCCACTCCTAATCCTACCCCCATGCTTAGTACATCTGGTTCCAGCTTCGGTAACAATGGTGACGCTTCCTATACCATTTATTTATGTTTATGTTACCTTCGTTATCCCTTATTACCGATCACGAGATATATTTTTTCGCGACTTTATCCAGTAGAAAAAGTTGTACATAATAAAAGAAACGCCCCCTCCTTCTTCACGTCCGTCCAAAGAAAACTAATCGCGACATTCTCCCATTTACGTTATATTCCGTATACTTTAATCTCTCTTTCGAATGTAATGCAACTGATATAACATCCGTTTTGTTTTCAATTCGACATCATCAACATATGTACATCGTAATATGTAACGTATATATAATCGCAACGTGTCAATTATTAATTAATTGAAACTTTTTGCATTAACAGATTAGTTAATATGTATACTCCAAAGCGAATTCTTCATTCTTACATTAGTTGGATTAGAATGACATGGAAGCAAGATCTTTCGGTGGTGTGTTTTGCATTCGTATAACATACTAGCGATAAACCCAACAGGTGCTCTGATTTGAAATTGTCGGATGAAACCGCTCGAGACACAAATACTAACACATAATTACATAATCAAAACAAAAAAAAAAAGAATGAATATGCCGGCATATAGATCGAAAACATGCGTGTAAATGCATTCTGTTGATATAACAAAAATACTTGTATCACACGCAAAATAATTCAATTAGATTTAGAGAAAAGCATGTTTCGCCTTTCGTCTTTTTACGAGTGGACATATTGGCGATTAGACTTTTGCTATATCAGCTTGCGTGTGATTTCTTGAAGGAACGTGCGATTGCATATTGTATGTACGTTACTAAAAACAAAAGATATAAGATTTCGTAATTAGTAATTACCATTTCAAACTGAGCCGAGCTGGGCGTAATGGACTTGACTTGACTTTGCGTCTGAGCCACGTCGCTCGAAACCTACAACAAACACGCCATGCAAAGCAATAATTTCACAGTTAGTTGCATAGAATGAACTAAGAACATATCTTATTATTCGCCGAATAGTTTAAATATGCATTTATGTTAGTCAATATGTTTAACTATCATACATACTTTAGCAGGATTAATAGGCCTTCGGAAGAAATAGGTTTCGTCTTCAGTTACCGCCGACGTGTGATTGAACTTCTTAAAACCATCTTGGCTAAGCTTTTTCATCAAACTTTTACTTTCGTCATAAAGCGATTCGCAAATGTACACGTCATCTTCTGGTATCTCTGTCGGTCTGCCTGTATAATTCATTGATAATAA